AAAGACCCAATGGCAGCCTTTATAAACGGGAAGCTTGCTTTATTTTTTTTTAAACATGCAAAAGTATTTCTCAGAAATGGGCATCGAAAGATTTTAATGGAGAAGGAAAAAAATTGTGATTTTTTTTTTTTTTTTTTTTTTTTCCTAGCAAGGGAGAGCTTGTCTCTTAACGGTGCAGTTTGATATTTCTGAAGTCCAGCCAAACAAACTCCCAAAGCTGTCGATTCCGCTTGGTAGCAAGCGGAGACAAGCGAGCCCCGAAGCAGAGCGGTGCCGTGGAAGGGCTCGCTCTGGCCCGGGCTCTTCTCACCCAGTGCTTTAAGATCTTTTGTCAAGCAAAAGATGTCACGGAGGGAAGCCGTAGACCTGTGCTCTGTGTTTCAGTACCTGATGTGTCTCTGTATATCTCCACTGTATATACAACAGCACATTGATGTCTGGTTGTCTTTACTGGTCCTAGTTCTCTCTGTACCTTGTCCGATAGTGTACTGTTGCTGGTAATGGACTTCTGTGGACACTGGTGTGTCGCTAGTCTGTTATTTTGGCTGTAAAGCTCTTGGTTTGTGGTTAGTTCTTTATTTTATTTTCTTTTTAGTATATTATTTTTCGTTCCGGTTACTGTCTGTGCTAGCGGTGGCTTTGCCTCTCCGTTGCCTTGAAGGTCCAGGTGGAGTAATGTCCCCTCCGACCGACATTACTCCTCGCGTGCGCTCATGCAGATGCCTACACTGTTAAGACTGTAATTTCCATAACTGCTTCATGTGCACTAAGCACCCTTGTGGAATCCTGCTGAGAGTTTCTTAAAGACTTCAGTGACAGATCCCTCTAGCACGAGGTGGGAGTGGCGACTGTCGAGTGCCAAACCTGGCAGGTCTTGAATTGGGCCCCCCCCCAAAATACTCCTGCAGGAGTGGTAACTTTCTGGATTGATTTTGTTGTTGTTTAAATGCATTTTCATCTTCTCTACTGCAGCCTGGGGGCAAAACAAGGTGTTTCGTAATTAAAAAAAAAAAAAAAGTTGAATTGGTCCTGAAAGCGCTAATGCGAAACATTTACTCATTGGCAGATCGTTTTCCAATTCCTAAAGCAGTTTTGCCGAGAGACACAGGCAGAATGATGCTGTCAGTCTTGTGTAGCTGAAGTCTGTTGTGGCTGGAGGTACCACAATGCCCCTAGCTTTGCTTGGCGTTTGGAGCCCTGTGCTCTACCATGACCCAAGGGGTTGCCTTTGGGCACTTAAAATTGAGCGTTGAGCCTTCAACCTCCACCTAACCTGGTCCGTTCTGATTAGACACTGAGAAAAATGGGACACGCAGAGGTGGTACCGTCCATGGGGGCAGCTGAACAGCCAGTGTATAAACCCTGTGGCGTATATACCGACAAATACCATCGGCAGTTGAAGAATGGCTTAAAAAAACCAATACATATCCTAAAAAATAAAAATCAATGCAAGAAAACAACCAGCAGGATTTTACAACTGAAATGTTGGTTTGTCTTCTCATCTATTTTTTGAGATTGAACCACTGGAACTTGGGGACAAGATGAGTCTGACCATATTTGCAACAATCTGTCCGCTACAGTTGCAGTTCTTCATGACAAGCATTCCAAGTGTTAACTAAAACCATCGAAGCAACATACCTGCCATTAAAACTCGAATCCAGAAAAAATAAAAATAACTCCATGAATCTTTGCACTACCAAGTGGAATGGCCTTGAACGCTGTAGATAGATCCCTTTGCTGTTTGCACTCCAGCCCCTGCTCCCCTGCAAAGACTGACTTTTGCTTTTGTGTTTTTCTCTCCTTTCCGTGTTCTTCCCTGGATCGCATTGGGATTCTCGCTGCAGATGATGAACCAGCTGGGCCAATGTAAGTGTGTTTTAAGAAAAATACGGTTTATTTAGCTTAATCTGAGGGTTTCTGGTACGTAAGACTGGTGTGAGTGTGGCGTTATTGATGGTGAAGGACCCTTTGGTTTGTTGTTTGTGAAGCACTCTTTGGTGTAAAGAAAAGTTATGCTCTGTTAGAAAAACAAATACTGGTGCTGAATTGACACGTGGGCTCCCTGCCTGCCTGTTACAGCAGATGTGATATTTGGAGTTTTTACAAACATCTTAAGGAATTGGCAAAGTGGGGAAGTTACTGCTCCCTTGTTACACCTGAAGAAATTCCGCTAGGAAGCAGAATGGGGCTGGAGGAGGGGACTTGTCCTGAGCAAGAAGGTAGCAACGTATAGACTAAAAGTCATGGGTTTTAGCTTCCTGAGTTGAGGAAGAAGAATGAAACGCTATTTAACTTTTAGTTTGGACAAGACTTTTTCGTTTTTTTACACTTGTGACTGATCTTGGTGCGTTTTTTTTAATCCTTTCTTTCTTTCTCCAGGAAAACTAATTCTACAAACAATCATAAAGATAAAAACTTACGCCAGAGAAACACAAATTAAAAATGCTCATCATGTAAGTATGGCTCGCACGCATCTCGGAACCCAGCAGCCTAAAGCCCTCCTTTCTCCATAGCGCTTGGGGTGTCGAGATGTAACTTGCTCCACATAGTAGAAAGTTCCCAGCCGCTCCGAGGGCGGCAAGAGCCCTCAGAGAGCACGGGGTTAGCAAAGAGCTTGCTTTTAGAGAACACGCAGGTAGCTGTAATGATCTGGTAGCTGGCACACTCTACATAATCGCTCCTGTTGCCAATAAAAAACCCCCCAAGACCCAAACCTTCCTCACTCACTGTTAAATCTGGAAGCCGCCCATGGTGGGGAAGCCTTTTTCCGCAGTTAGGAGCGAAAGGGATGTGAAGCACTTTTGATTTGCAGGCTGTTCGGCACCTCGGGCATTGACTAGCGCCTTTTCTCATTTCTTTTTTAGAGCTTTAAGTTTCTGAGAGACTGATGGCAATATGACCTGCTAAATTTAAGGGTTGGAACTCTTGGTTCTAGAACTCCAGTTCTGATTTCTTTGCAATTTTTTTTTTTGGTTCCTTTTCAAGTGAGCAACAATATGACTGTCTAAAGCATGCCTTATTTAGCCTCTCCTGTAAGGATGACCTAGCCAGATACATTTTAATAACGCTTCAGTGTAGAAGGTGTAAACTATTTTGGGCTTGATGTGCTGTGAATGTTGCTTTTTTCCTTCCTTTTCTTTTTTATTTTGTATCCTTCCTCCGTTTGAAGAGCAGAAGTAGTGAGTCGCTCGGTTCACGCATGCGCCGTTTTTTACTTCCTGTCGCTGTTAAAATTGGCAAAGCTCTAAAGCGCACTGCTGCCATCTCGTGGTAACTTTTTGTAAAGTACAGCAAACCTTACAAATCTATACAGTATATATTTATATTTTGGGGGAGGGGGGCGGGAAAACCAAAATCCAGTACTTGTGGTTCATTTTGAAGCTGCTGATATTCATTCCTTACTGTTTGTCTGAAAGGTGAGAGAATCGTGCTGTTCTGGTACTTAGAGAAGTAATATAAATTGAAATTAAGGGCTTAACCTATAGAGAGAGACTGGGGTGTCCTAAAACCGGACTTCAAAAGCTGGGATGGTTCGACGTGGTGGTGGTGGAACGCAGTTGGAAATAAAACAAAACTTCAGTTTATAAATATATATATATATGATTGCTTTTTAAGTGATTTTTTTTTTGTTAACTCATGTAAATTCTCAAATACTTTTGCACTGATGTGTTCAACATATTCTTGTACATTCAATTCAGGCAAAGTTTTATAATTTTCTTTTGTTTAAATGATGAAACGTTACAGCATGGTGATATTCTATGCAACTAGTTATCCTCTTCAGTTTGACACTGTAATTTCTCATGATTTAAAGATTGTAGAACTAGACCTAACAGGGTTCTCATGATGTGCATAACTGTAGCTGCATGAACTTGTGTTCTGTGTATTTGTTGGAGTGCAATGATGTATAAAAAGTGGATTCACCTGTTTTTAAAAATAAAACACTGACAAAAAAAAAAACCACCCAAACAACCCAAGTGTGAGACTTTTTCAAAACTTTAATCACACTTCAGCTTGCGTATCTCAGTGGTAATGAGCTGGCATCTCTTAACCTTCTGTGAGTTTTCTCAGTTCCCTCTCCACATCTTCCACAAACGCTGGGAAATTCTGATCCATGAGGCACAACCGAATGAAGGGCCCCAGCTCTCGCGCACGCCACACCGGGTGCTGGTGCACAAGGGGGAGCTCAGGCTGCTTTTTCAGCACCGACTGTGAAAATAAAAAAAGCCAAGGTGTTGCACTGATCTGGGACAAAAAAGGTAACATTACATGGTTTTGTAACGCAGCTACAACATTTCCCTTCGGTGTTTAATAAAGATGCATCTGCCTTGTCATTAATGCTGTCCAAATACTTTCAGGTGTGATTTCTGTGTGTATTTTTTTTCTGGGATAACCTAGCTCTGATTCCAATACGGCTTTGACACAGCTCTGAATTCCTTTGCCACTTGTGACTTCAATAATTGCAATTTCCAGCCATCCCGTGTAAGAAAACAGGACCCTGTGTGAAGCGTCTGTCTTTTACAAGTCAGTTATAGGGGCTTTTTAAAAGCTAAAACATCCTTCTCACATCCAGCTTTTTCCCCTTGGTGGAAGTGAACTGTGCATGCATTTCAGTGCCCGATTGCCTCCCAGCAGCTACAGGTGATGCTGCTCTCATCTGTTAGATGTAAACCATGTTATTCACAGTGTTTGGACAAAAAGTTTTGCATTGTTGGGGCTGCAAATGTTTTGTAGACCTCACCACCTTTCACTTTCCTCCCCTGTGTGTGCTGAAGCTGCTGAAGCTGCAGCGTTAGGGATGCTTTGCAGGGAAAGAACAGCAGCAAAGAAAATCCCTGAAGCGCTGCTGTCACGGTGAGGTGGGCGTGATGTGCAGAGGCAGCCAGTGATGGAGGGGAATGGTTCTGTCATGGGGGGAAGTGCCTAATTCCAGTCTGCATCTGGCTTTAAAATCTCCAAATGCAGGGAATTTGTTAGCAATTCAAGCGAGGTCTAGACAAATGGGTACAACAAATGAAGGCCTCACTAGCGGAAAGCTTTGTTCACAAGGTTTTGCTCAGCTTAAAAACTGCTAAATTTTTTTTTTTGGTCTCTTAAGTGCTGCTTTTGTAAGGTTGGTGTTGATTTAAGTTTCCTAGTGTGACCTCTTAGAGAGTCTGGTCATGAGAAATAGTTCCTAAAGGCAAAGTGCCTTGTTTGAGTGCTCTTGCTTGTTGATGCACTCTCGCATTGTACAAGGACAGTAACAGAACCGTCGGGAAGCAGACAGCAGGGCGTGCAACACAGCTCTCACCGCTGACAGGAGAGGGTAGGGAACTCTGCTTTCTGAAAATCGAGGTGTTTAAAAGGCTTTTTTGGGTTTAAGAGAGGATGAATTTGTAATAGGAAACAAAGGACTTGTCCTTCATAGCACTGATGTGAAGAAATGTCATCTTACCAGGATGAAAAAAGGGTAAAACGGAGTCATTGAAGCAACTGCACTAAAGCAGAGGTTGGTACGAGCAGTGTTCTCAGTCATCTCATTCTCTATGGTCCCACATTCGCAGTAAACAAGTAACAGTGAACTTGCAGTTATTTTTAAACAAGGCCTTACCCTGGGCTTCTCAGGGAAGCTGTCAATTGAATTACAGGACTTTTTGCTGGGGGTGAAGGATGATTGATATTTTCAGACTTCAGCTATGACTGCAGAAATAATTTCTACAGAGTCCAGGAGTGACAAAGCCATTTATTTGGATGTAGCCTCTGGGGGTTGGTTTGTTCTTGGCCTGGTGGTTTGCTCTTATGCAAATGGAGTAATTACACCATGAAAAGGTGGGCTTGTTTAGCCTGGAGAAGAGAAGGCTGAGGGGAGACCTCATCACCACCTACAACTACCTCAAGGGAGGTTGTGGAGAGGTGGGTGCTGGTCTCTTCTCCCAGGTGATGGGGGATAGAACAAGGGGAAACAGCACCAAGCTGTGCCAAGGGAGGTTCAGGTTAGAGAGAAGGAGGAAGTTCTTTACTGAGAGGGTCGTCAGAAGCTGGAACAGGCTGCCCAGGGAGGTGGTGGAGTCACCATCCCTGGATGTGTTTAAAGAGCGGGTAGATGAGGTACTTAAGGATATGGTTTAGTGGGGAGACAGGAACGGTTGGACACGATGATCTCAGAGGGCTTTTCCAACCGAGCGACTCTGTGATTCTGTGAAAAACCTGGGTTTGCAGCTTGTTTCCTAGCTCTGGTTCTTTACACAAGCTCGTGTTGGTGGGGTGATGGCATCGTGGTGTTCAGTGAAGACATTTACCAGATGTTTACAGCACATGAGATGGTTTGCTCGCTCACTCTGTTCCCAAGATGCAGTTACGGGATCTAAGTATTAGATAATGTTATTTTTACCTGTGCTAGCTGTGTTACAGATCTTCTTTCTTCGAGGCAGGAAGCTGGTAGAGGCTCATCTGGCTAGAAAATATCAAATGCAAATATGGGCTTGTTACCAAGCAGAGTGTGGGTATGTGCGAGAAGAGAAGCAGTTCTGTTTTTAGAGGTAAGAGGAGAATGTGCTCAGCTACCTTCTGCAGCAAAAAGGCGTCGCTTTATGGAACCTGAATGCACAGCTGCTGCAGTCTTTAAAAATGAAATAACGGGCCTGTAGTTAAACTGGTTTATGTCAAAACTAGGATAACTTCTAGACCTTAAAAAATGCTGTGTGTGACTGCTCACCAGGAGCATGCTTTTTTTGCCTCTTTTTCTCCCATCACAGAAAAGATGGTTGAGGTTGTCAATTCTATTTTCTGAGCAAGGTTTTCAGTCTGGACTTCTGGAGCAAGAGCATTCCTAACACCGCTAGTACGCCTGGTGCTGGCCAATAGCATTCTGCCATGAAATACTTTCAGTCTTTGCTTTAGCTCATCAGGAAATGAGCAAAGCCCAAAGCGCAGGTTATCTGCTTCAAGAACGAACAAGAAATATTGAAAATCAGCTGCTGGAGGTCTCCCGTATGCTTTCCTGGAAGTTACATTAACAGTTTTTCTCCCCCCCCCCACGTTCTCTACCAACTATGATTCCACTGTCCATGGAGATGGACCTTCCTAGATTATACCACAAGATGGTGCAGCTGAAAGCTTTAACACACTTTTTTCAGGCCTCAGTCTTGGGCCTGATACTTTCGTTTCGTACCCAAGAGCTATCCTGGCTAAGCGAGCTGCAGGGGTGGATTTTTAGAGCTGGTAAATGGGATCCTCTGGCTACCCAAGAGAGCATATAATTAGGAATTAGTCACCCTCAGAAATACTATCTGCGTATGCCTTTTGCATTTCCCTACGGTCTTTGTCCTGGAGAGGGGAAACACTCTGTTTCTCCCCTGTAATCGCTTTGAAATGTGTGAGGTTAAGCTAAAGTTTAAACAGCTGCGTATTTACAATTATTACCACTGCAAAACAAGAGCAGGTGAACACAAAGAGAAGAACATAACTCGTGGTTACCCGAATGGCTCTGATAATTTTTCTTACCCTGTATAATTTATTTGAAGGTCTGCCAGGTGGGTCCCAGCAGCCTGCGCTGAAATCGTTTTGATAACTACCAAGCTCTTGTCTTTGCTCCCTGTTCTTGTTTATTAACCTCAGCAGAAAGCATCTAAGTCTTCCACCAGACCCTCCCACCATCTGACTGGGAATTGGTAACTAACAGTTGGCTTTAGCTTTTGCAGCCATTTCTTTAACTGTTGGTAAGTGCCTGTGTGTGCCTGACCCCTGCATAAATTGTTCTTCTCATTCCCAGGCTCCCTCACTTAGGAAAAGCTCAAACCCCAGAGCAAAGCTGCTTTTCCTCACCTATAAATCTAATTTCATATGCTTGCTAATACTCTTCCTATGATCACATGAAACGTGTATTCATTTTGGTTATTGGTGACCTCTTGGAAGCCAAAATGAAGGTATCTGATTGCTCTGAGATACGTTTCATTAAGCTTGAGGAGCTAGAACCACGTTTTGGAGCATTGTTCTGCTCACTTTTTTGAGGTACACTAAGAAAACAGGAAGCTATTTCATACAGATGGCCTCATAGTAGCAAAACAACTTTCTTCAGAAGAATGTCATTTACAGATCTAACACTAGAAGTTGATAACTCTTCTATTTTTATGTCTATATGTTCTTGCTTGCTTACTCCGTGTAGCAGTGATGCATTTTGCTCAGTGTCCTTCACGTGACTGTCGCCGTCCGTCGGCTGATTGAGGCGGTGATGGAGCTGCTGGCTTTGCTCACCAGTTACTTGGACTGGGGCGTACTCAGCGAGTTCCTGAATGCAGCTGCAGCAGTGCTCCAGCATCTGCTCCTTGGAAACTCCACCAAACTGAACACGAAACATGCGGCATTCTGTCTGCTCACAAAGCCAGAGAGAAATTAAATTAACTCTGAATGCCCTTGAACTATTTAAATTAAATTCCTGTTTGTTACAGTTGGGAAGAAGGCGATTAGTTTTGGGATGGCTGCACCAACTTGCATACAAAGAAACAAGTTTTCCCTGCTGCATCTTTGTTTTTTCCCAGCAGCTAAACCAGAAGACTATTATTCCTGGTTGGAAAATCAGTTAAAAAACCCCAAGAAAATGGTAAGTGAACAGAGCCGCTTGTCAGCTAATGAAAGGTCCAGCCAAGTGAACAAACCTTGCCGTGACGACAGAAGTTTTACAAGCATAGCAGGGAATTTCAACAGTTATTTGTGACAACGAATGAAATGACACTGAAGCAAGCAGAAGTTAAGTTTGGAGTCCCAACTAGAATTTATGGGAACTCTGTGTTCCATTTCGGATTTATGTTACTGCCTGCATCAAACCCGGTCTTTCTTACCTACCTCCCTGGTGTGCCTGTGCATATCCAAACGTACACATTCAGTTTCCCTGTACAGATGCTAACACAGTTGATAGAAGTGCAAGGAACTCAAAGGCATTACTTTAAATAGTGAAAGAATACTAAGAATAAAAAAATAGATAGAACTGACCCCCAGTAGAGGTTGCTGGGCTGTACCCTAATTGGTATTTTCTTAACTACGTGAGGTCCAGCAAACTGCCCTGATAACAGAGGGCTGAGGAGTCTGTGGTGCACGATAAACTTGTCCTAAGCTCATTCAGCTGATGAGAGGCAGACAAACATTGAATGCCCTTGTTTAGGGAGTGACTTAATGGGAGTTTCAGTTTGGTCTTGAAACTCCAACTTTAAAACACAGTTTAAGTACTAGAAAAGCAGTAAGTTTTCCTTGGACGGACCTAGCTTGTTTGAAGTCTGCATCTTTCTGAGATTTCAACATCAAAGCCATTTTTTAAGTGACTAGACATGCTGCCGGACTGCTGATTGCACAAATAAAGGACATCCTTCACTGTAAAGATTTCTGTCTCAAAGATGAGCCAGCTCCTTATGACAGCCTGTGTGCTTACATGCATGTGATTTTAAGATGCTTGTATTGCATCAAACGGTTTCTGGGACATTGTAAGCATAAAAGCTTGTCTCGGTGCCTTTTAAAGGGAAAAGTGACAAAATAATTCCTAACTGTAGCACTCATTTTACCAGTGCCCAGTTGCATTTTTTCTAATTAACTAAGATGTCAACTTAACTGGGTCAGCTTCACATAACCAAGAATGGGTTTGAGGATGTGCCAGACAGGTGAGTTTGCATTAAAATGACTGAATAAAATATGTATGAATCACTGAATAAAATTTCCACTAGTACAGCTGCATTTCAATAGCGATCTGCAACAGGTGTCTTCTCTACACGTCTTGTTCCTTCGGGTATATCAACACTAAACTTCTCAGAACTATAGTGTAGAAACTCATTCTGCAAGCTGAGTAGTCCATGATACCCTATTAAAATACTTCCTTAAGAAATGAGTTAAGTTTTGCTATAAATGCCCTATTAATGACTTACAAAAAGCAAGTACAAGATAAAGCAGAAATAACAGTTTTCTATTTAGTTGCCCGTGCTCCTGAGCTGCTCTGTGCACTCAGATATAGGAACTGATTTTTGAAAACCGAGGTTGCTTTCCTCTGCTTGAATGGCTTCTGTTTGACTCACCTCTTACTTAGGCCTAGCAGGGTTGAGATGCGAGCCCTGACACAGTGTGGCTGGCTTCCTGATCTTTTAAAAGTATTTGGGAATATTAGCATGGAAGCTATAGATGCTGACAGCCTTTAAGGGATCACTCCTGCTACAATTTAGGATACAAAGTAGAGAAACTGTATGATAGCACCTAAACCCAGTTAAAGGCATGTGAATTTATAGTCAGGAAACATTTAGATGCACCAAATTCATTTAAGACTAGGTTAATATTCCTCCTTTTCTGAACCGTCCCTCAGAGCTTTGTTCAAGCTTCAAAGTGGTTGTGATGTTGCTTTTGTGTTTCTTGTGAGATGCAGCAGAATCCCTTAACGCCGTGCTGGGAAACTGGTCCTATTAACTGGAAAGGAAACTGATGAGCTACTGGTTCATCAGAACTAACCACTGCAGTGATAGTCTTCTGTGATGCTCCACAGCTTAGAAGAATCTGACAAAAATCTGAGAGCAAAGGTGTTTTGGTTTTCAGGCAAGCATAACCCGTGAATTTAAAACACTTCAGATACGTACGCAGTTCCTAGTGGCACCATTAGACTAGGCTTATTCTGAAACAAGAGGAGTCCTTGTATTTACACAATGTTTATTATGCCTCGCATCTGCTTTTAGCTTGCAATTAGCAAGGCATTCTCCCCTCTGCAAACTATATTATTGGGCTTGTAACATCCTAGAAAGAAATATTTATGCATCTTTCATAAGAAGAAATCACAGAGAATATAGAAATGCAGCTAACCAGGATTTTTTTTACAGTTTTCAGCTACTCTGGATATTACTGTTATCTGCAATTACAATAACCAGGCTTCCTGTCAGGGGAGGATGCCACAACTCAGAATACCTGAGATGTTTTTATGCCTTAATAGTTCTGTAAAGAGTTAAAAGTGGTCTCCAGCAGCTACTGAACAAGGGGCTCATCATCTTTTTCCAGAATTCCTGTTTCTACCTTCAAGATGAATTCTCTTGTTGAGCAGGGATAGTTAACAACTTAACTTAAACTTAACTTAAACTTAACTTAAACTTAATAGCAGCTCCTTCTGCTGAAACAACAAAGCCTGGAGTGTATCAGGCAATGACTTTTTCCACACTGTGTCAGGGCTCACATCTCAACCCTGCTAGGCCTAAGTAAGAGGTGACTCAGAAGCCATTCAAGCAGAGGAAAGCAACCTTGGTTTTCAAAAATCAGTTCCTATATCTGAGTGCACAGAGCTCTTCTCATTTTGAAATAGGCTTTGTTTCTGAAAAACCTGGTGAGTACTTAGCGTAGATGAGTAAAACTTCTCAGAGTTCATCTAAGAACCAAGAAAACTGAGATTTAGACTTAAGTTGGTAACAAACAAGTGCTGTTTAATTATTTAAAGGCTAACCAACCACTTTCCATGAGGTCTGAGGGGAAGATCAGAAACCTGGGTCCCTTTCATTGCCTGGAATACCAAATGCCTGAATCACCAGCCTGCCACTACTGTGCTAGGTGTCAGGGCCCACAGAATGGCTAAATAATGGTTTGTTTAGGTACTTGGCTTGCCAAAGTGAAGTGTGACTCATAGGTAGCGTGCTTCTGTACATGTAAGCAAATAGATTCTAATATAAAAACCACCCTTGCTGTTTTAGTAGTGAACTATCACAAAGCAGTCTAAAGGACCTGAATATCAGCAGTTACAAGAGATGACTTAATCCATTCTAGTTCAGTTTCTAGAGTAAAAAAATAAATAATCATTTATACAGACAATTTATGGTATCTCAGATCTTCTGGCTTAATTTACCCAACATGGAGAAATCTTATACAGAAATGCGTGAGCTATTAGAAATATTAAAAGCAACTTAACTTACCTTGGACTGAGCACAAAACAGCAGGCAGTCTGCTCTTCTTGCTATCCTTAACCACTTGTGGGAATCGATTAATGAAAAACCTTCCTAAAGTAAAGCAGAACACAAACTATTTGCCCAGGAAACTGTGCGACACTGAGAAGTACACACTGAAGTTATGTGATGTCATTTAATCCCTAACGAAGATCAGTGATGTGCATAAGTGCAGCTTTTGTACCTGGCAAACAATTGCCAATGTGTAATTTTTACCACACTCTGAATGAAATCTGAATCTGTAACTGGTAAATTCTTCTGCAGCCCATGAAGTTGCCCAAGAGGGCAGCAGAGGGCAGGCAAACCTGAAGAATGGGACATTTAAGGCCCACAGAGGCATTTTCTCCAGATGGAATTCAGGTGAACAAGCAGCAGTGTTGATGACTTGATGTTTTTATACTCCAGCTGCATTAACTGTCAGGCTCTTCAAACAAGATGGGCTGCTTGACATTCTGTAAAAATACCCCAGGAAGCTGAAAACATATAAAAATTGCAAGGCGATGGACTGTGTCTCCCAAGGTACAGCCCATAGACTAGCACGCAGTCATTAGTTAGCAAAATCTAGGAAGGGGGGGAAAACCACAACAAACAAACAAATTTAAGGGCAGAGGGGAAATCACATACCTGTTTTACCTGAACTCATAATGCTTTCGATGCCCATGGCTTTTTCCATAGGCTGCTTTTCATACGGGTCCTAAGGGTCAAGAACCACAAGTCACGTCCATCCCAGAGTGCCAACAATGGTTTTGCCTCCCCATCTGATGCAAGGCCAGGCTGGGAAACCATCTGCCATTCTGTTTTGGTATAAGAAGTCACCTCGGTAAGACACTGCTCTTTTAATGTGCTGGCGCTGGCTTTTTAGTCTTGTGCAGCAATCGCACATAGATTTTTAACTGAACTTTTATGAGAGCAATGTCTCGAAAGCATCAAAGAGTTGAACCCAGGGCAGACTGGCTCTCAGCCACATAGCTGAGCTGACACTTGCTATGATAGGCTCCAGAATGGTAAGACAAGGGTGCAAATACCATTCCCAAAAGATGTGAGGTCAGAAGGAGAAAAGCATTTCCCTCTGCACTGTAAAAACAAGTGCTGACAGCAGGTAAGGCAGGCCAGTTGCTTGCAGCTTGTGTTTGCACTCAAAATGCCTCAAGGTAGGACTTGCTTGAAGCAGTTCTTCCAACATCCTGTTCTTGCACTGGGCCACTTTAACTTCTGGCCACTTGCGCTTGGTCTGTTCATTTCAAATAGTTACTGGTTTTGATACGCAGCAACTGTGTTGATTTAAATGTGGCTGCTCCCATGTTAAGTCTATTTTTATAGCATTTTTCCTTTCACTGTAAGATGTAGGTAGAAAAAATTGTTGTATTCTTAAGAAATAAAGAATTCTTAAGAATGTCAGAGAAATCATAAAAGGCTGGCAATGTTTAACTTTCCTACCAACGATTTTGTTGATGTTCCCTAGGCCATCATCCTTTTGTATGTCCTGTTTCTAAGGTAAAGAATGCCGGGAAAAAAGCAGCATTTGGAATTTTTATTTGTGTACTCCTAATTCAGCTCCAAGGCCAAAATTTAATTAACTGAAATTTAATTTACTTCAAGTTTAATTAACTGAAGAAGAAAGCAGAAAGTATGCTGCACCTTTAGTTGGCTGTATACTGCCAAGCAGAAACAAATAGCTACGAGTAGCTGAACAGAGAAAATCCAGTGCAGTATTTGAGCAATAAAACAGACACAACTTGGGTCAAGCAAGCTCCCTGAAGAAGGAGAAGAGAATGTTTTAGACAAACTGGGGTCTGCAAAAATACTCAAACGAAACTCAATCGGTTGTTTACATCAGTAATTGTCATTACAGCCAGGATCCTCTAGATCAGGAATAAAGACAAAAAGGCAACCTAGAACTGGGCAGGAACATAAGACCTCAGGTGCTTACAATGTGGAGAGAGAAATGGCAGCACTTCTCGAAGTTGGATCATTAACGTTCAATCATGCATGTACTCCTTATGGCATTCTCCAGGATCATACTTGTAAGAATGTTTTGTTGTTTTTCTATTAAAGGTAAACAGTTTCATACATCTCTGACAAAAAACAAAGTAATACAGAATCACAGAATATGAGGAGTTGGAAGGGACCTCGAAAGCTCATCCAGTCCAACCCCTGCCAGAGCAGGATCACCAGACCAGGCCACAAAGGAAGGCACCCAGGCGGGTTTTGAATGTCTGCAGAGAAGGAGACTCCACAGCCTCTCTGGGCAGCCTGGGCCATGCTCTGGCACCCTCACAGTGAAAAAGTTTTTCCTCATGTTCAGGTTGAACCTCCTCTGCTCCAGCTTGGGACCATTGCCCCTTGTCCTGGCATTGGACATCACAGAGCAGAGCCTGGCTCCTTCCTCCTGACACTCACTCTTCACAAATTTATAAAGTCTCTCGGAGGGAGGACCCTGAGAAGAACTAAGCTGAAGCAGAAAACAAAGCAAGACATTTCCCAAATATTTTGGAAGCAGGCAAGATGTGACCACACCTTGCATGAGGCAGAGAAGCCAGTGATGCTGGTCCAGCCTTACAGCCATTCAGGCTGTCATTAACCAGGAAATACTTTTGTCCTGATTTTACATTTCAGCATTCAAAATGCTGCTGGATAATGAGGCCTGTGATTGATGCTGGAAGGTACTGCATGTTATTTATGAGTATTTTTATTATTCTATCATCTAGAAACCCTGTGGTGCTGACATGAACACAGGAACAGATTATCCATTTTATGGCAGATCACAAGGCCTTAAGGCAACTAATTACTATTAAAAAATTACTATATACTTAAGAAATGTTATTTGTCTAACAGCTCAGCTATGCTGGCTTACATCAATTAGTTTGGATTCACTCATTCATGAGACGTTTTCAAATGAAACTGAACTATGTGTAAACAGCAGCTTAGGAAGAAAAACTTCCTTTTTTGCCACAAACTTCATATACTCTGCCCTTAAATTATGATGAATATTAAAGACACACAAACCCAAGAACGCAACACACAAAGACACATTCTCCAGTTTTGGCTGCCACTTACAGTAGGCTCATGAAATACAAATAAGACAGTTTGTTCTCAATCAAACCATTTCCCAAGGTATGCTACCAAGCCACAGCTGGGGAGCACAGCCAGCACAGTGGTGCTTTTGCAGAGCAAAAGAAGAGATTTGGGCAAAGCACTTTTTGGGGGAAGGGTAAGAGGAAAAAACCAGTAGGGATGGCTCCAACAAACTGCCACTGCCCCCAGAGGAGAGAGGCACTGCCCAGTTACCCCAGCTCCTGTGTCGCCCTATCCAGGACTCTGCTCACTGCACTGAGGATGTAAGGTACGGTGAGAAATCTTTCCAGAAGTAGTACTCACTACCTACGTTTTGTGTGTGATTTGTTAAGTTAGCAATATTTTTTGATCTCTAATATCCTACGTGCTGTCATTACTTAACATTTATACTGAGTAACGCCTCGCTTATTCTTCAAAATGACTAATGTGGCAATAAAGGAATGTTAGTAGTATTTCCAGGTATCTACACGATATGGTTAATACATCAGGAAAAGTCTGCAGCAGAACAGAAATACTGTAGTATTATACTGTTATTAAGCATTATCTCAAGAGACAGTAGAAATAAGGATCTGAGAGCAGTCTGTAAATGCTTGTAAATGATGTTCAAGTATTACACTGAAAACTAAAGGATGCTTTCAGAAAACTTAAGAAAACTTGGACAATGTTCACAAGTGTTTCGACAGTGACCTCTTTGATAGGGAGTTAGTCATTGATAGGTGATTACAATAACGAACACTGTATGCTTGAAACTTGACATACAGATTATAAATGAAGTGCTTGCATAAGCCTGAAAAATAGCAAATTTTAACTTGTCTTCCCAATGTGAGTTGCCATTTTACACTTTTTAAATTAGAGACCTGCTTATTCTATTAAAAAAGTCTTCCTTTCATTAATGATTGTAGAATAAAAATGTAACTCCAGCTGAAATTTAGCAGCTGTAAAAATGAAACTTTAAACATAATTCCAACCAAATCTTCATTATTACCTTGTAACACACCTAGAAGCAGAAATTTTCCTTGTACCATTTTCCAAGATCTAAAAAAGGCCAATGACATGAGTTTTTATTCCTGCAGTAGAAGCTGTCTTGAAAACTGACTCAAGAGTAGAAGTGTCAACATGCCAGGAGAAACAATCATCGCCAAACATGGTAACTTGTAGAGTGGGGGGAAGCAGAAAGCTGTCCCTGCAAAGATTTCCAAGCTATGTGTCTGTACCCAGATGTGTCACGTACAGCATCGTTGGGAAGATCAGAGCACAGCAGAAACCACGTGCTGTGTGTAACTTAGATCTCAGTGTAAACGTTGGCTGTCTCAAACAGATCTGCAGAATAGAGAGTAGGAAGTGGAAAGAGGTGAAAGGCCAAAAAACCAACCAAACAAACCCAACAAACCAAAAACCCAAGGCAGGCAGCCAGCAAGCTAACTGGAAGGAGGAATAAAAGGATATTAAGCTGCACATTATCTTTTTGCATGCAATCTTTTTTTTTTTACCCCCAATCTCTTAAAAGCCACATCTTCAATCTTGCTATTACGCTTGTTTGATTGTGGAAAAGAACGCATCAGGGTTGAGCTCATCAAACAGAGTGCTCTGTCTCCACAGAGGCAGGGAAGCTCAGTGCAGCAGCAAATACAGGACACGCAGTCACCATGCCCAGGGACCCCACAACCCAGGAATGTCTTTTGCCAAAGTGCAAAGTGTTCCCCCAGAGGGGTACAAACTGCAGCCCCTTGAAGGGGTGAATAGCAAAGATGAGCCCCTAACTCAGGACAATCCTTGATATTTCATAGTGTGAACCTGATTGATTTTTTTTCCCTCTAAACCAGACTTTAGAATAGTGACACTTGACCAGGGATGTAGAGAGGTGAACTGGATGCTCATGTGTTTAGCTGGCTAAAGCTCTTCAGGGTATCATATTAATAAGTGAAGCTAAGCAATTTCTTCTTTAATTCCTGGTACAGAAGATATACTTCTCTAGATCA